GGAGGTTCTTTTGCGAGAAGAGATATCTTGGAGGTAGAAATCTAGGCATAAATGGATAAAGGAAGGTGACAAGAATACTAAATTTTTTCATGAGATGGCCAATGGAAGAAGAAGGAAAAACTTGGTGACTAAACTTGAAGTGGATGGTGTAAGGTTGGACACTCAAGAGGAAATAGCCAATTGTTTTGTAACGCACTTCAAATCTATATTAAGGAAACCTCTAGCTAATCAAGTGGAGTTGGCTGGGTTGGATTGGCCTACACTGCCTAAAGAGATGAAATTGTGGTTGGAAAGGAGTTTTGAGGAGGAGGAAATCTGACAAGAAGTTTTTTCAATGGATAGATCTAAGCCACCAAGGCCAAATGGCTTTCTTTCAAGACTGTTGTGTTGGGCCTCGAGGGGGGTCACGGACCATGAGGAGTTGTCAAAACCGGGGACTTCGTACACATACACGCGCATAAGACTTGTACACAAGAGATGGACACCACTTACAACCCAAAAGCCTAAGCTTTTTAGTTATGGGCCACTCTTGTATTATATATAAGTCTTTTGCACTTCTTGTATCTTTCCAATGTGGGACTCTCTTTCATTCCTCATTCCATACACCTACTCACATGTGCATCCCAACAATCTCCCCCTCACATGTGAGTTTCTTTAGCCACTCCCCCTCGAACGGAAGTCGATTACCAAGCTTGACATGTACCACACTACATTGCATGCACAACACCAAGAGCCCTTGTTCACAACCATAGGGAGGCCTACCACCTCCTGCTACCTATCCAAACACATGTAACCATGGGTGTTATCATGGGAACCACGTACATGCTCTTGAAAACCGCTCACCAACTACTCTCACCCAACCCATTCGACCATGGGGAACCGGTAGAGTCATCGCATGCAAACTACTTGACCATGGGGAAAGGAATCAAAGCCATGGGAGTCACCATCATTTTCATCTATCAACGCTTGCACCCACCCAAACCTTCGGCTCCGATACCACTTGTTGGGCCTTGAGGGGGGTCATGGACCATGAGGAGTTGCCAAAACCAGGGGCTTCGTACACATACACACGTGTAACACTTGTACACAAGAGATGGACACCACTTAGAACCCAAAAGCCTAAGTTTTTGAGTTATGGGCCACTCTTGTATATAAGCCTTTTGCACTTCCCGTGTCTTTCCAATGTGGGACTCTCTTTCATTCCCCATTCCATACACCTACTCACATGTGCATCCCAACATGTTGGAACATAATTAAAGGAGACTTGTTAGAAGTTTTCAAAGAATTTGAGGAACAGTCTATCATTAGCCGTGGAGTAAATGCCACTTTCCTAGCCTTGGTTCCTAAGAAGAAAGAGGCCAAACATCCCAAAGATTTTAGGCCAATCAACTTGGTAACAAGCATCTATAAGATACTGGCAAAGGTCTTATCTTTGAGGATCAAAAAGGCTCTTCCCCCCATCATAAGTCAAGCTCAAGATGCTTTTGTTCATGGTAGACAAATAGTTGACCAAATTTTAATAGCAAATGAAAGTGTGAAAGAGATGAGAAGATTGGGTAGGCAAAGTTTTGTTTGCAAATTGAATCTTAAAAAGGCCTATGATTTAGTGGATTAGAGTTTTCTGCTAGAGGTGCTCAAAAAGTGTGGTTTTGGGGATAGATGGTGCAAGTGGGTAGATGGTTGTCTGACGTCTTGCCATTACTCAGTTTTAGTAAATGGAGTAGTAAAGGATTTTTTTCCCAGCATGTAGGGGCTTGAGACAATGTGACCCATTGTCCCCTTTCCTTTTCACATTGGTTGTTGATGTTTTTAGTAGACTTTTGTCAAAAGCAAACAGAGTTGGATTGATAAGAGGATGGAGATTAGGAAGAAATCAAGTTTCGATTACCCACCTTCAGTTTGCAGATGATATCATAATCTTTTGTGAGGGATGTGATTTGTTGAGGGCAAAGAATCTGAGAAATCTAATAACCCTCTTTGAGAATGTCTCAAACCTGAAAATAAATCTTGAGAAGAGCTGTGTGGTGGGGCTAAATGTGGAGGGAAGGGAGTTGGAGTCTATTGATGCCTGCTTAGAATGCCATATTTCTGCTTGGCCCTTGACCTATCTAGGACTTCCCCTAGGTGCAAATCAAAAGGAAAGTAGGTTTTGGATCCCAATGGTAGAGAAGTTTGAAAAAAGGTTAGTGACCTGGAAAAAGAACTCTCTCTCTCTAGGGGGAAGAATAACCTTGATTAGGGCCACACTCATAAACTTACCCATCTACTTTTTGTTTGTTTTTAGGATACCTGTTAGGGAAGCCAAGAAGATAGAAAAGTTGATGAGGGATTTTTTGTGGGAGCCAGGTGTAGAGAAAAAGGATCATTTGATTGATTAGATGGGAGGTGATGAGTTGAAGCAAGGAACAAGGGGGGGCTTAGGGTTAGGGAACCTAGTAAATAAGAATGAAGCTCTTCTGCGCAAGTGGTTACGGAGGTGGCCTCTGGAAAGAGAGAGATTGTGGCATGAGGTGGTGGCTAGTATCCATGGCTGTTTTGAATCTAGTTGGGATGTCGGGGTATCTCAACGGGCCACCCTCACTACACCTTGGAAGACGATTTTTGGCATCCTCCCAAAATTTCTCAAGTTCGTAAGGTATGATGTCAGCAATGGTAATTTTGTGCTTTTTTGGGAAGATGTTTGGGTGGGCAACCAACCATTAAAAGACCTCTATCCCTCCCTTTTTTCTATTGCCCTCTATAAAAAGGAGCTTGTTTTGAGGTTTCTTTCTCCCCCCATTCTCCCATTGTCTCTTAATTGGGATTTTGGGTTCCATAGAGGGTTGAGGGATGAGGAATCGATTTCTGCCTCTGAGCTCTTACTTTTACTTGATTCTGTTTGTTTGGACCCTCCTAAACCAGATAGAAGAATTTGGTCTTTAACCTTGAGTGGCTCCTTCTCTTGTTCTTCCTTCTTTAAGTTCCTACGCTCTACTACTTCCCCTTTGTTGTTCCCAATTAAAGAAGTTTGGTCAAGGCCAATTCCACCTAAAATTGCTGGTTTTTGTTGGGGAGTATATTATGGTAATATTATTACCGTGGACAATGTACAAAAAAAGAGACCTTATTCATGCTTGCCCCCAATTGGTGCATTTTATGTAAAGTGCAGAATGAGGACTGTTATCACCTAGTGATTTCTTGCTCTTTTACAATAAATATTTGGAATTGGGTTTTTATGTTGTTTGGGTACAGGTGGAACCTGCCTCCTGAAGTAAATCTGCTTTTTGATCCGTCTTTTTTTGGTTGGCCAACAAAGAGAGAGAAAGTAATGTGGAAATGTATTAGGGCAGCCCTCTTATGAACCATTTGGGAGGAAAGAAATGCCAGAAATTTCTAGGAGAAGGAGAGAAGCATTGCTGAAATAAAGGATTGCCAATCCTTTGGCTAAAAACTATTGATCTCTTTGCGGATTACTCTAGTTATGACCTTTGAAGGAGTTGGGCAGCAGTGGCCTCCACATCATCCAAGAAAAATAGAACACAAACAAGTTGGTTACCCCCTCCGGAAGGAGTTGTAAAGTTGAACTTTGATGGGAGCAGTCAAGGCAATCCAAGACCTTCGGGTATAGGAGGGATCTTGAGAAATAAGGATGGCAACATTTTGTCCTATGGGTTATGGAGACTCTACAAGCGCTGAGATATTAGCTGTGGTACAAGGACTACAGATTTCCAACCAACTTGGAGTGACTAATTTGATAGTTGAAGGAGACACTAAGGTGATAGTGGGATGGATGTCGGACCCAGAAACTGTTGTTTGGGGATATAGGAAAAAAAGTCAAATGGCTTACGAGAACCATGTCAGTTAGCTTTCAGTGGGTTAGTAGATCGGCAAATGCTTTGGCAGATTCTTTAGCTAAACAAGGGGCTTCAAGGGATTCTCTGTTTTTGGCTAATTTGTAACTGCAATCTGAAAAGAGTTGGGTTTGGAACCACCTTTAAGGGGAGGTAACACCCCGTGCCTCCTCTTAGGGTGCTTCATGCTTGTACTATTTCTATCTCTATTTAATAAAATACTATTCATGCATCAAAAAAAGGAAGTCCTTGTTTTATGATTGCAAAGAAAAGGAGTGTAGAGAAAAGAAAAGAAACTCCTTAGTACAATATTAGTAATGCTTATCTCACTAATGTCAGACGTATATACCTGGATCCATAGTTGTCAAGGCGATGCCTAGGCGGGCACCTAGGCGACTAGATAGCGGTTTTGTATTGTGTCTTATAAAATACTTTTAAATTGTTACTTTTTTGGGATTATAATTATAAAATAGACATTATTAAACAAAAATATTCATTTTTTGTGTTTATAAACTAATTTCTTTTTATTATTTTCTTATTTGTTAGGGTTTAATCAACACAAACATTGCTAACTGCTGTATTGAACCCTCAAAGACTTCAGAATTTGAACCAATAAGTAAGGGAAAAACTTAAAGTTTTGTCTAATCAACACATTTTTTAATTTTCTTTTCTTTTTTCTTTTTCTTCTCATAAATATGTTGATTTTCTAGACATAAACATGAAGTTTATAATTTTCATAAGAAAATTATGGATAGTTATTAAGGAAAGATGGTTATGGAACCTAGGGAACTACCTAGGATATGTATTTTTCACTTAGAAAAAATCCATTGCCTAGGCGACTAGGCAATAAGGCGCCCCCTGTCGCCTAGCCTCGCCTTGGCGCCTTGAAAACTATGCATGTATCTAGTCGGTACATTGCAATTCTCAGACGTAGAGGTAGCATGCAAGTACTAGGGGTATTGATCAAAAAAAAAAGGCTTGGAAGTAAAATGACAAAAGACACAACACAAAAGGATGCAAAATGACATGAAAGGAACAATCCTCAGCATGTGAAGCATTCTCGTCTCGATTAATAACACCAGATCAATAAGGTCAACAGAGTTCTAAATAGCAAGTCAGCATGAAGATCAGTAGAAATTTTAACACAAAATCCATGCAGCAAATGCTTACCTAACTGACTCCACATCTCATAATCAGACTTTCCATCTTGACCTTCTAGAGGAGGGATTTGTGCCAGAATGTAATATATCTTGCGAATAGAAAGTTCTATGTTGCTTCATATCAACAAAAAGTCAGTTATGCAAATTACTTGCTACTGTAAGAACGGGATTTTAACATAAAACTAACACTTGAATTTCTACTGAAATTGGATATAATCATCCAAAAATCACCAAGCTGATAATAAAATTAGGAATTAATAAGCATACTAAATACAAAGCATCAAGGCAAAAGTAAGCAATAGGATGTTACATATTCTCATATTTTTAGTTGGTAATTGGTACTCTTCGAGGAAAAAGATATATGCGAATAAACAAATGGCAAGTAGCAAACAAAAAAATAAACAAAACAGGTCATTGGCCAGAAATGAATAGAATTCATTGTAAACTACGCTTAGAAAATATTAACATTATGGAGTGTGGGGGTAAGAGTAGAATTGAAGCATAGCTGAAGCTTATATAATAGACAGTGGTTTAAGGTTGCAAAGCAAGAAGCAAGACCATCTATCACTGTCTAATCTTTTGCCCTTATGTTACTGAAATTTGAGAACATATGTTTGCCCTGTTTGGTGTAAGGTGGCTGGAAAATTGTGGTACAAGGTGCCCAGAAGGAGAAAATTTCAGAGGGATCCTGTTCAATTTCATCACCACTGGGGTGCTTCATTGACTTTGAAGAGCAGGAATGACAGATTTTAGCACCCACAGGATTGTGAACAACTGGAAAATTCTGGCCCCATTGTCGAGAAAATTGTCTGTCCACAGGCTCTATCCACATGGCATGTGAATCCATACAGCCATGCCTTCAGCAATGGTACTGTCGCATGGAATGCACATGGACTAATATGTCATGCAGGGAGAGACCTTTGGATTGGACAGCACCGGATGTTGAACATAGACAGCCATTTTTTCCATCTAGCTAAGGAAGGACTGTATTAGGAACCAGCTATTGGCTATACTAGGAGCCACGTGCGCTTTTTTTTGCACCTTGCACTTTTAAAACACTGAGTGGGTTGTGTTCTTAGTTGATCCTTTGAAAAAACAAAAAAAAAAGAAGAAAAGAAAAGAAAAAACCCATCCACCTTGTTACCAACCAAAAGAAAGGTGTTTATTTATCAGTCTATCTTGCTAATAGAATTATATACACTTCAAGCAAACCTTACACAACTCAAGCCTCAAAGCCTGGGCAACATCTAGATACAGGCACAATTTGCATGCATTGACAATTTGGGGCACCTCAGGCATGTCATATAATTTACTCAACAGAATTATAAGTCAATTCCATCCTTCACATGAAAACAACTCAGACTTTTTTCTTATTCTGACCGATTTGAAACAATTATAAGACAAAGAGCATCATATGTCTTTTGGTATCATGAGAAATGCAATGTGGACTGCCAATCTAGGTTGAGGACATTCAAAGTACAATCATCACTAGGAGGGACCTAGACAAATGTGCATGAGAGAGAGATGTATTATGGAAGTAAGAGATGTTACAATTACCTAATGGGGAAAAACCAAAAGGAGTTAGTTAATTAGCTAAAACCTGGTCAAAAACTCCAGCATTCCACCATACCAAGCAGATATTTAAAAGAAGATGGAAGTAAGAGACGTTAATATGACACTAACCCTGATTTAGAGATATCACCCCCATTGTCACGCAAAGACACATTTCTGTCATCTAACCAAAAAAAAACACAATAGACCAAAACTTAAAAATGAAGAAGTTTGGTGAACCAACATGTGATAATTTGCATAGAGAACATACCACAACCACTATAATTAAACAAGTCCTAACACTTAAGTGATTGTAGAGTAAGTACCATTAGTAGTATCCACTGTTTCCAAGCTTCTAACAATTTTTTCCAGGCTAATGCAGGTAAAATAACTGCACCCGGAAAAGAAAATTTAAATATTAGTAACTTTAAGTGCCTAGCACTGCATTATGAAGAACTAACACCCAAAAAAGATAACTAACATCTCGATTAAGCTTATCTTGAGAACAATGGCAGAGCCAAGGAGGGTGTGTTTTGATAAGAAGTCTTTGTTGAATTTTCCTATATATTGTGCTTGATTCATGGGGTAAGGATCCAATGCTATCATTTTTTTATCAATTCCAATGCTATCATGTTAGTGTTATTTGTTCATATAATAAGACAATATTTATTTGAATAAGGGTGAGTAATTTTTCCGTACCGAACGTCTATGAACTTGAAAAACTTCGAAGGGAGAAGGTTTAATAATAAATCATCTGGCAATGTTGAGTGAACCTGCAATTGATGAGGAATCATAAACAATAAAACATACAATTAAAAATTTAAACATACGAAACCATATGATGAGCCGAATAATTCTTTTCACCATATGGATTCTAACGAAAATAATTATCAAAAAAAAAAGATTCTAACGAAAATCTAAGGTGGCAATACTTCGCCTGGAATAGGGACTTTGGGGTTAAAAAATGTTTGGATTCAAAAAAAAAGCAGCACATGCTACCATATTCCCATGTAAACATTCACGCAATACTGCAATTAGGAGAAAAATCAATGTCAACAGAGTTCCAATTATACAACTTACGATAGTATGAATAAGTTTCTGGTATATAACCGACTGGAACCTCCCTCCTTTACCTAACCTCACGAATTCCATTACTGCGTCTAATGCAATATCCTGAAGTATGGAATTTTACAAACGATAGCAAATTAGAATCATAACCAATGTAACATAGCACAAGGCAAACACCCTTTGCAAGACACGAGAAAAAATATACAAAAAATGAGGGAAGTCTCACTCTGAGAGCTTCTTCACACTGTGAAGAAACAACGACGGTGATGAGTAGTTTAACAAACTCATCAAACTTTGAGCGAAGCCATGTTCTGTAAATCAATTCCGGATCCTTCTTAGACTCCTCGACGTTACCATCTATGAGAGATTTCGCAGAAGGAGGGAGTTCAGGAAGAACGGGAATGAAGAAAGATTGCACAGAAAGGAGAGCCTCAAGGACGTTTTGAGGACGAGAAGAAGAAGAGATGACGGAGAGAAGGAGAGGAAGGTTATTGATATGAGCTCTTGAAGATAGGAGTTGATGGCCTAGGGTTTTCAGTTCTTCAAGACTGTACTTTTCTCTCTTTTTCTGCTTCTTCGCAGAAGTGGAAGCCATTGTTGAGTCGCGAGGTCCACTGCGCGAGTTTGGAGGGAAACCCAATACAGAAAAATAATGGATTGAGGTAGGGTTGTCGCTCGTGAGTAGACCTGTTCACGGGACGGTCCGGGCTTTTCCTCTTTATCAACAGTCAGCACATATATTTTTGGTGTAATTTAATAAATTAATATTATATTAATTTAGTAACAATTTAATAAATTAATTCATAACTTTTAAATAATAAAATAATATTTGATAATAATTTTATAAATGAATATATATTATATATAAATAATGTATATTTCTATTATATGTAATAGTATTGGGTTGGGCTCAGGCTCGGGCTCGGGTCGAGTTTATTTGAGAAAGCCTAAGCTCGGCCCAAAAAAATAGTCAGGACCGGTATTTAAAGCCCGAACCCGAGCTGCCAACCTTAATTTTTGTTCAAGCCCGAAAAATATCGAGTCGGGCCAGGCCAGATCGTCAGGCTACCCGGCCCATGAATAGGTCTACTCGTGAGTTCGTTTCTAATGGACCACGTAGAGATGGCAATTACACCCATCCCCAAGGGGGCTTCACTCTGCCTGCCCCCCAATTAAGGCGGTTTTTTACCATTGATCGGGGTTTGGGCAGGTTTTCTTTCACCAAAACCCTTCGGATCGGGAATATGGCTGAATGGTATTTGTCCACCCGACTCTTAATTCGCCCCCATATAACTAGAGGTGGCATGGGCGATGCATGGGATTTGTTAAGCAAAGGCTAAATAATAGAACACACATGATACTATACAATTGTTTTATGTTTTTAACGTGTTAAATAATTAATAATTATTTATATTTTATATACCACTTTTAATAATTTTTCACAATACAAAAATAAAAACACTTAATTTCGACTAGGACTGTTTATCAAATTGACCAACTCGACACAAGTTTGTTAGTTTTCTAGTATTTCCGGTCGATTTTGATTCAACAATTTCCTAACCTCACCAGGTTAGATTAGTTTCGCTTTTGCAATTTTTAATTTGAACAATCTTACCATAGGTATATATTAATATTTTATATTTTTAATACATGAAAGTGGAAAAATCTCCCATATTTCTTGGTCTAAAATAATTTATATAATAAATTTAAAATTTCAATTTATTTTTTTAATAACACCATTATATTTTTTTAAATTTAAATTTATTTTTTTTAGTTTAAATCTTTTGAACCAACTGACCAAACCAAAAATTGACCAAAACCGATGCAACCCAAGTTGGCCACTTTCACTAATGGTCAGTCAACTCCGAGTGACCAACTCCCCAACTTGACTGAGTTTATTTGGTTGGCCAAATAGCCTACAACCAAACCGAACAAACCCGGGAACACCCGTAATTTTTAGTTAAATTAATAGTCTAATATTTAATAAATAACAATAGTTTTATCTCCAATAATTATTAAAATTTTATGGCAAAAATACATAATAATTTAAAATATTATGATAATGAAAATACAATAATTATAAAAAAACAACAAATACTAAAAAAATATATTAAATTAGTCAATAAATAGTTTAATCTCTAATAAATATTAATCAACAGAGTATAACAAGAATACAATAAATTAAATTTAAAAAGTTAATAACAGTAGTTAAATCTCCAATAATTAGTGAAATTTTGTTACTAAATAACAAAACAAAAATAAATTTATACATAATTATTTGTAATATATTAATCACAAAAAACAATAAATAATTACAAAAAAAAACAATAAATGTTAATTTTAATATAAATAAATATATATTAAGATTTAAAAATTATTATTAATAAATATTATTTTTTGGAGAGTTATTTTCTATAATTATTAGTTGATATAAGTTAAATTAGTTATTTAAATAATATCAACATTTAAATTATTATTTATTGAATTTAATAATCTATAAAGTTATAATTATACTATTATTACATAATTTCATTATTAATTTTGTAAAAATATTAAATTATTATTAATTTGAATATTATGTTATAATTATTTTTTGCTTTTAAGAACATTTTTTAATTTATTACATAATTTCATTATTTTAACTACTTAAAATCTAGTTCTGTTAAATATTTCATTATTTAAAATATTTAAATAATATATAAAATATATAAAGTTTTTGTTATTTCAATCTTATTGATTTTAAACTTATCACATAATACTAAATATTTTGTTTTATAATTATTTCGCTATTTTTAATATTTTGTTATTCAATATATTTAGCTATTGAAATATTTAAATAATGTTTTTTTAAATATTATATTTTATTGTTTGAATAGAATTTGAATTGAATAATCCGGAAAATCATAATTTATGTTGTTAGTACATAATTTCATGATGAACTTTGTAGAAATATAAAATCAATAATAATATGTACATTAATGAGTATTGTAATTATTTATTGTCTTTTTAATCAGTATTTTAAAGTTAATATATAATTTTGTTATAATATTTGAATAATTTCTAAGTTTTTTAATTCAAACTTTCTTTAGATAGATGTAGATAAAAATTGGGGAGAGGATAAATGGGGAGTATAGATAATTTATGAGAGAAACACTCTACTAAATTAGAGATAATTTATGAGATAAATATGAATTAGAGCTAATTCGGTAGATAAATAAGAATTATAGATAATTTAAGAGAAAGTGGGGGAGGTAGTTTAGAATAAGTTTCATGAGATTATATTATTTATGTTATTGAGAATGTGTGGGAAAGAGATTGAGATTCTAGGTAATCTTTTGTGGGGAATGAGAGTATCTCATTAGTTGTTTGAAAAAACAACATGGAAAAAATGAAAAATAGGAGAAAATTATAAAAATGACGTGTTTTAGTATATACTACTCATAACCCGTGCAATGCATGGAATTTTTAACCCATTTGTAAATTATAGTTAATGGGCTTTTAAAGAGCCCCATGTACTTATAAACACCTTACCACAAATTTTCATCATAGATACCCCCCATTTAACCATTCATCGCACTAAGATTTTAATTTGGGATATCTCATTTGCCAATATATTAATTTCTTAGATGCCCTTGACCATACCATTCATTGACCAATCAAACCCCACCAAATGATCAAACAGACCAATACCTCTAGAAACCTCACCAACATCTGATTTTTGCTCAATTCGTCATTGAAACCCTAATTTACCCCGAGCACACGATCGTACCAGTCCGATCCTTACAAAGTACCTAAAAATCCCTTAAAATTGCCATCAGACCTAGGACCTTCTAAAATATTTACCCCTTAAATTTCAACCAAAGATTCCCCTTCATTTATTCTTTTACTATAACAAGATTCCCTTTCGAACCATCTTATTACCATGAAGTACCCACGACCTAAATCTCCTTGATCCTAACACCTCTGAATCAATTAGACCATACAATTAAACCCTATACACACCAATAACATAAACCCATCAATTTTCAACCTATAATTCTTTCATTTGCCCCATCAAATAAATATTCCATTTTGAATGCTCTCATTAACCCAAATTTCCATGGTTTTGATCATCCAAAATCAACCAAGTGTTTCCATAAGATCCTAGACTCCCTAAAAACCCTACCCACAAAAGCCCAACCAAAAATACCTGTTGTTTGCACATCCATTACACTGAGATTTCCTTTCAAAAGCTTCGCATTAACTATATCAAATCATTTCCAAATATTCCCAATATCAGCATAATTAGGCTATATGACCCTACCAATCAACCCATAATGCTCAAAAACATCATCGTGTCAAATTTCAACAAAAAGTTTCCTCATTTTCCCCTCAATCACACCAAGATTATGTTCCAAAGTTAATAAATTAACCGAATCATTACCCCTTTAGATCTACCTAATCCAAGCCTATCTAGGCCAAATTGACTCTACCAATCGATTCAAGATGCCTTAAAATCCCACCATGTAAAGTTTCAATAAAAACCCTTGTTTGCCCTCCATATAAGAAGATTCATTTTGGCCAATCTTATTGGCCCGTACATGCAAAACCAATGTATATACTCAAATCCATCTCCACCCTTCATTTTTAACTCAAAATTCCCGCCATTAGATTATAATTTTGTTTTGACCTCCTTAGACCCGAATTGACTAAAATACCTCATTGAGCTTACCAAAATACCTAAAATAAATAAATAAATACCATAACTAATTATGCTATTTTTAATGATATTTTGTTAATAATTATGGCATTTATTTAATTATTTAACAATATTAGATGTATGTATATATGGTATTTATTTAATTATTTAATGATGATATCTCTTTATATATAACTGTTAATATATATTATATTATATTACATAATATAAAATAATTATAAATAGATTTAAAAATAATAAAAAATAAATTTGCAAATATATAAGTAGAAATGATCAAGATGGTATAAGGCAAATTCGAGGATCCCTACTCCTCGTGGGGACGATGATGGGTTGAGATTTCTAGTCATGGTGGAGTATGGGGTAGGGACAGGATGGGGCATTTAAGTTCGAGGCCAGGGATGGGATATGCAAAACTCGGCCTGCCCCACCATATTCCCATTCCTAAGGACTAGTATGACTTTCGATGGGTCAGGTTCATATATTCGACATAACCGAACTAATTATGTTGGTTTTGGTTATATGATTTTGTCCAAAATAAATTAGGCCAGGTTGGTTCTTCATGTTCCCGATATCATATATTTCCAGCATCATATGTTTTTCCTGATATTAAAGATTTTCCTTTTTTTTTTTAAATATATTATATTGTGCCAAACATACATGATACCAAAATGGTTTTGACCAATTGCAACCTCCCGTGAATTTTGATAGAACCCACCTGATTGATTATTACTTTTATGATGTCGTTTGATTGGTTGTTAATTTTTTTCGATACCATGTTTTTTCGTTATTATATTCCAATTCCCCAATTTTTTGTTATATTTTATGTTTAATGGAGTAAATTTCATATACTATGGTTAAAAACGTATTTTATTAACATGTGAAGAAATTTCGGTAAAAGACTTAAAACCTTTAGTAACATGTCCTGAATTTCTAAAAAATATTTAAAAAGATACCCTGTAACTCTTTTAGCCTCTATTTTCTT